CAAAGGAAAAGTATGTCCTTTATGAAGGCATAGAGCCTTTACTACATGAAAATGAAAATTAATGAATACACTGTGTACAGTAATTTACCTGATAAGACAGACCTCAGAAAAATACTTTATGAGGCATAAAGCTGTCTATGATGAAAATTAATTATCTAAGGGTATTTTTGCCCTGCCAGGGTGTGGCCAAGTTATCCAGAGTGCCAGGTTATTGAGTGCCGAGTTTTCGAGGCTCTACTGTATCACAATTCACAACTTTATAAACTGATTGTTTTAATTAATGGGTAACCACTATCAGTTTATGATTGTCATTATAATACAATTATAATGTCAAAATAACACTCAAAGAAAAATAAAGATACTAGTTTCCATTTCAAGTGGAAGGTAAATTAAAAATTACTTAACACTCATAGAATCAAGCTGAGTTGGGCAAGGAAAACTTTGGAATGATAGAAATATGTTATGCTTATGAGCAACAATCATTTGTCAAACAGAATGGTATAACATGTTTCTATTGTATCAAAATTTTCCCTGCCCAACTAGGTTTGATTTTATAAACTTATTACACCAAGGACAGGATTCTTTTAATATTCTTTTACATTATTAATTTATTTCTTTCTTCAATATGCATTTTTGGCAAAAGCCCCTTTTCAGTTGGAGTTATAATTATAAAAATTCAAATTTCAATTGTTAAGGGGAAAACCTTAATCCTATTTTCTTATTTTTTCTAATCTTAAACATTATGCTAATAGAATATGCAATGACATGATTTGTAATGCTGTATCAATATTAGGTAATGGTCAAGATTAGAAAAATAAGGAACTTAGAATTAAGATTTACCCTTTAACAATTGAAATTTGAATTTTTATAATTCCAACTGAAAAAGGACTTATGCCAAAAATGCATATTGAAGGAAGAAATAAAAGTTAATAATGTAAAAAAATATTAATAGAATCCTGTCCTTGGTGTAATAAATCTGAAAATAAAATCACAATTGAACTAAATGTAGTGAATTAATACATGAAAAACTTAATCAGTTAAGAAGCAATGTTAAAATTAAAAACCTTACCTTGTTCTCTAACAATTTCTGAAACACCATGGAAGAATCCTCTGTATTTTGGATTTGGTCCTGTCTGATCATTAATAAATTTTACTTTAACAGTTTCCATTGGTGTAACAGCAAAAATAGCTTCCATTACTCCTGCTCCCAAACCACATAACAATCTACTACTTGGTGGGAGATTTCCTTTCTCATCTAAATTTCGTTTTTTCAATGCTTCAAACGTTCCAAATCTATATACAAATAATTTTATTTTTAAATTATTCTAATAAATTATAATTTTAAAAAAGAAGAAAATTCATACCTAACAGCTGATTTTGGAATTGAACCGTATAACAAAACACTTAAACCTCTATATAATCCTGAAATTCCATGATGTCTGACAGTCTGACGTACTACATCAACAATTCCATTATATCTCGGTTTTCCAGATTTTTCATCTAACTGTAACTGTGTTTTAACATATTCTGTTGGAAATGTAATACAGATCTCTATTCCACCAGTTATACCACCTACATGAATAATAGATGAACAATAAATAATGATAGATATAATAATAATACAAAACTACTTAGAAACAAAACATCTGTCCAATGGAAGAAAACAGAAATAAAAGGAAAAGCAGAGGAACAAAAGAAAAACTTCAGATTGATAAACTGACACTAGAGAACTTCAAAAGAAGAGCCAATTTTCACATGGTATTGTTTGATTACAAGAAAAATACCACTGCAAAGATGAATCATTAAATGTTTATGAACTGGCATCAGCTGAAACATTAGAATGTTTACAAAAAAGCAGTGAAACTGTGGAAGACAGAACTAATTGTTTAAAAAATATAGATATAATAGCAAAGAAATTGCATCAAAACGTAGATGAAACAATTTGATTTAGTGAACATAGATTACTGTAGCTAATTTCAGCAATGTACTGGTTTGTTTACACATAGCAAAAACATTGCAGCTAAATTTAAGTATCCTATAAGTCAAATTTCTAATAATGTCATTTTTATTTCTGTGCTTTTAATAAGAATCATTTATGTTTTAAATTGAATTAAGAATTACATATTTAACAATATTGATTGCAATTAATACACTCTTGTTGTGTTATTTACACAATTGTTATCCATATATNTATATATTGAGAAAATTTCCAGTTAAATTAAGTTCCTATAATTTAAATAAAAACATATATTAATTTGACTAAATATAGGTTATAAATAATGAAAAACTTTTAAAGTATATAAAAAAAAGTGAATTTATGCATTTAAAAATATGATATAAAAACTTTTTATAATAATAAAACAACAGATAGCACTACTAAAAGTTGCCAAAAAGTTTGGGGGCATAATTTTGTCCACCCTTTTTAAAGATGGTGAACAAAATTGTAACCCCCCCCCAAACGCAGGAAAAAAAAACAAATTTTTTTTGCGTATTTCGATGTTTCAAGGTCCCGAGTCCAAAAATGTAAAATCTTGGAGGGGTCATTTTTTGATCGATCGCTATACTTCCCCTATTAAATATAACAGTCGGGAAAGTAACTAGAATCAGTTGGTCAGTTGACTGTGTAGAACAATGAGAAATGTGCACATCAAATTTTATGAAAGCATAATTTTGTAAAATAAAGAAATCCAAAGTATGGCCCTTTATAACTTATAAGGAGCATGTGGATGAAAAAATCGACAAGCGCATCCCTCTTTTAAGTCTTCACAAAATTACAATCCACCATTTTCCATCATACGAGCAAGCTACATACTGACCAGGACTTAAGTCTGACAGTTTGATCATCAGTAAAAATTCTTACAGTAAATCCAAAAATATAATTTGAAATTCAACTCGTGTGAATGGTACTATTAAAGTGGTCGTTCTCGTGCCTACAATTTTGGCCAGTTTATAAACGTTTTTCCTTTGACGGTCTGCTTATTTCAACATCAGGCATCCCAAATGGTAAAGATATACATTTGTACCATTCTTCTTTTTTGTTACGCTTTGTGTGTCTTTGTTAAAAAACCTGTGGCTGGACTTGCTTGGTTTTAAGGCGTCTCCCCTTGGTTATGGGGCTACCAATTCAAAGAACTAGCAGTGGCTTTGCCACGATGGACCACTGCACGTACCCCGTAGCCTCTTGGCATAGTTTTGAGAATCATCGGATCTTGATTCTAGTCACTAATTTTACACGTGTACCCTCATCATAGGAATACAAACATTCAATACTAACTCTTAAAGAATGCTTATTGTTTCTATTAGCCTAAAATGAAACAAAACAAGATTTCTCTAAAAACAAATTGGTTTTAGAAAATAATTAAAATCCATGCTAACTTTTTGCTCAATATTTAGGTGAGCATAGTTCAGCAAGCATGCATATTCAGGATCTTTTAATCTAATTACATAATGACCACCAGCTAGTGAGCTCACAGAATAATTTGCATTGAATAGTCTTGTATATTATTGCTTATTCTGAAACAGCGTTTTCTTTTTGTTTTTTCAGTCACAACTAGGTGCATAGATAGAATGATGTCAAAGGTGCCCAGTGTCTATCTATGCACCTAGTTGTGACTGAAAAAAAGTCTTGTATAGTTCTGAAGTTATCAACGTGTAACTTTTGTTTTGAGCAATCAAGTTTTTATTCAGACATCATTACCTTTAATTAGTGACGTAGCTAGGGGTGGGCAGAGAGACATTTTTAGAATTAAAAAAATTTTAGTTGATAATTTTACTTTTCATATTATAAAAATTATTCCCAGAGTTAACAATTACAAAAATTATGACTGCCATTGAAAAATGTCTAAGTATGTTTGGTGTGCATTATGTATTTTCCAAAGAGCAGCAATTGACAGACCGTCCCTGGCGAATCAATCTATAGCTACGCCACTGTATTTAATGCCACATTTTTGCCCTTAGCAGAATCGGGCATAAAAATGAAAATATTTTAAGAAGCCTCCCTATTTGCCTGTGAATGTTGGTAAAAATTCAGTCTCAATTTTTTTTTTTCGAATTTTTCAGTGGGCATATTTTGACAGCTGATAGCTGTACACTTGAAATTATTACACAAAAAACCATTTTTTTACAACCAAACCTTGATTTTTAAAAGTGTTTAATTAAGAACGTCATCTTCCCGATTTCAGGCAATTGAAATGTGGCTTCTGTTCCAGAATGAATTTTATTCAAACTTCGGTGAAGATTTGTGGAAGGAGTACATTTTATTAGAAGCTTCTGTTGGCATATCTGAATTGTCCACTTGAAACTGTTTTATCGTAATTGCTCTTAGTCAAAGAACCATTGGACAACAAAGATGGTTTTTTAATCATTGAGTGCAGAGGTGACATGGGGTGCCTTCATGTTTTGGTTTATATCTCAAACCATATTATCATACGGAGCTATATTTTGTATGGTTTAGTTAAAGTTTCTTAGCTACCTTTGTGCCAAATTTTATTGAAATCTGAGGTGGTCGAGCTGGAGACCTTGATCATTTGATATGGAATGACCCAAAAAGGAAATCAATGTAACATTGTCAAATGAAATTAAGAACTTGAAAGGATTTTCAAAAGCTATTTGCAGGTTTGGGCAAAACTCTTAATTTTGGAGAAGTTATCACAAAGTGAGCTCCCATATACCTACTCACCAAATTCTCCTGTCATATCAACAGATGAAGATGCTTTTCACTTTATAAGAATCTTCTGGGAGAGGAAAATTAATTTTATCACACAATTAAGAGATTTAATATCATTCACGAGTTTCTGATGTAGGCTTAGTGAAATGCTAAAAATGGATGGATAAATGTCATTCCACATATGTAAAATGAGATTTAAATTGAACATTGGTTTAAATAATATGGAAACGTTTAAGTGTGTAGAGTAATTAAATAAACATGTGTCTGTTCTAGCACTGTTTTTAGCAAACTTTTTGCATCCAAAATTCTTCTTAATCATTACTATCATAAACTATTGAATTAAATTTTGCATTTCTTTGTTGATTGAAACTGTGCTGTCACATCATTTAAAAATTTTAAGCCATATCAAATACAGCACAACAAACGTCAAGTGCTGTTCATTGTATTTGATTACATAATATATTTTTTTATGAACCTGTTGAAAAGAAATTATGTAACACGTTAGTATTATGCAATTTCTTTTCACCTGGTTCATAGGAAGAAAAAATGCTCTACATTTACAGTAGAAAATTATATTAATTAAAAATCTACTAATGTGAGGTAGATAAGGACTTATCACACCAATTATAATAGGCACAAACACCCAGGTATCAATGGAATACATTTAATAAAAATGAGAAGGGGTGTACATTAAAATCGATTACATTAGTAATTAACATGAAATAACCAGTCTGAAATGCATTTTGGTTATTTCATGTTAATTACTAATGTAATCGATTTTAATGTACACCCCTTCTCGTTTTTATTAAATGTATTCCATTGAAAGCTGGGTGTCTGTGCCTGTTATAACTGGTGTGATAAGTCCTCATTATCTACCCCACATTAGTATATTTTTAATTAATTTAATTATACCAAGGGCAAAAAGCAATTCCTTTATAGAAAATTATATTTGCACTAAACTTGCTCATGTCAAGATATTTCCATCTCCCCCATTGCATACAGCAAGAGAATCATTTTTCACTGCCAACTAAAAGCCTACATAGTTCTGAACCATAGCTAATATCATTAGTTCACAATATGCATCACTGAGAAACAGACCTTAATCATTCCAAGAAGTAATTTTACATAGAGTAAAACTTCTTGCTCTTTGCTTATCTAGAGTTACTGTACATAACAAAGTAAGTACCATAACTCTAGATTACTGTTTAAATGTCACCTGTAATCAATTGGATGTGGCAAAACCACCACCAGTTCTTTGAATTGACAGTCCCTAACCAAGAGGACACACCTTAAAGCCAGATAAGTCCAGCCATAGGTTTTTTAATGGAGACAGACACAGACACAAAGCATAGCAAAAAAAGAAAATGGTACAAATCCAGCCAATAGCACATTAAACTAGTTTGCAAGCATATTTGACATATCATTTATAAATGATATATACTAAAAGTAGATCTATTTCTATGAAATATATAAAATATTTTGTGTAATGACTTATGTCCAATTTGGCCTGAGAATTGAAAAGTTGGGCACCACTGCTCAGTGGCACACTCAGAGAAGGGAAAAGAGCTCTGGTCCTCCAAAGAAAAAGGAAAACAAACAGTAGAAAATTTTCCAAAAATCTTTCCCTAATTAGAATTCATTTTTTTATTTATATTGTCTCATGTCTTCTATTTCTATACTATTTATGAATTAGTGGTCACATATGATGGAAATTTTATTGAATTTCCAAAGAAAATTTTCTTATTCATTCAACTTGGCTCTCCCCAAAAGTAAATCCTGAGTGTGCTGCTGCTACAGCTCTAAACATTAAAATTAATCAATCAAATTAAACAAACCTTTTTTATATTATATTTTATTATACAATATTTATTTTGTTTTGTATATTTTTGATATAACTTTTATCATC